TAAAAAATTTTCGGGTCAAAAATTTGCGTGATAATATAGGAGTTGTGATTATAAAGGAGGTGATTATAGAGGAGGAAAACTGTATATAAAAAGTATAAAAGTAGAAATTTTTTGCTATCCAGTACTGTATAAATTTTGACTGTGTTTCTTTTAGGTTTACGTTACACGAATTTTAGGGTGCCCCATTATCCCAAATATGGAAAATCCATAATTGTACAGGAAAGTCCCACATGTTGGAAAACGCGTGTAATTTTACACGCGCGATTATAATTTGTTTCTTATAAATCATTCAAGTCGTCATTACTCAAAAAAAAAAAAAAAAAAAAAGAACCGCGTAAAATGACGAGCAAAGATCAAACACGTTCTTTGCCAAAGGCAAAGCAGCCGTTACAGGAAAAAACTATATCTACGAGGGATGGTAAAATGCTTGATTGGGTCTTTCTGCAACGGAGGGAATTTCCAAATCGCAGATTTTATTTTGACGACAGTATAAAAATTACTATGAAAAAAAATATGATAGGTGGTATAAAGATGCTTGGGGCTGTAAGTAAAACCAGATATATTTGGATAAAACGATACAATTTTAACTCTCCAAGTTATCACGATGTTTTTTTAGGCAGTTGAGCCATTTTATGATGTTGAGAAAGTTACTCATATAATTACCGCAAGGCTATTCAAAAATGAAAACAATGAAAACAAAGAGGACGAAATAAAACGATGTATTAATGAAACTGTGGCCGCCGCTACACAATCCTTGCTCAAAAAGCATACCTCGACAGCAACACCCAAAACTTCTACAAAGAGGTCTTTTGGTACAAACATAACTAACAAAAACGCCATGCAAAATGACACTACAAAGAAAAGGGTAAAACTAGACAGTTCCGAAATGTAAGTAATTGCTTAATTGTCTAAGTATGTCTTTATTTGAAAGGATTGTGTGTTAATATAAAAAAATTATTATAAGTTCTGACAAAAAAGTATTCGGATCGATCACTACAGCTAATGTAATCCTACGCATATTTGACTTTTAACATTTTATTATGAGCTGTTAGTTTATTTATATTGAACCATATAGGCGATGGGAGACATCGATCTTGCTGATGCGCAAAGAAGAGGGATTAAGATTTGGCATGTTGATAGTATGTTGATTTGTATCTGTTGACTCATTATAATTCACATAAATTTATATTTATATTTTTCTCAAAATTACAAATAGAATTTAAAAAGATTCTTAGCAGATTGCTCGACACATCATCGGTTGATCCGCCGAAAGTGGATCATTCATTCCTACAGTCTTCGTCGACTGATGTTGCAAAACCTGCTAAAAATCAAATTTTTTCAATTATAGTTGGTGATAGTGCACATCTTCATCGACCTATAATTTCGCGACAGTACTTGGGTGAAGAGCATCTCATAAGCTTTCATTTTGATATACCTGATACAGTGTCCCCATTTCAAACCTATTCCAAAAAGAAATCAATTCAAACTAAGCTTTCTGCAAGTTTAAGTGTCGCTAACAATGCAGTGCCTGCAAATGCGCAAGCAAATCCAACTAAAGATGGTAAGTTACTATAACAAGACATTTCGATTAATAATTACAGAATAACATTAATTTTTTACATTTATAGGTGACCAAGAAAAGCGCGAAAATGAAGTTAAAAGAATTGTCTTGCCACTTAAAGATGAATCTGGATATTGTGAATACTGTTCGGTTAAATATGAAAGCCTTGCACAGGTTAAGATCGATTTTGAATCTGACGTGTAAATATAAGGCTAGATGTTTTTTCGTTACTCATAATTCTTATATTTTAAAGCATCGTCAATCGTTTACCCATGTTGAGTTTAAACGGGATAACTCGCGTTTTAAAGATTTAGATGACCTTCTTATGGAATTATAGATGCTAGTGATTGTTGCCGATTAGAAAATTACAAGCTTAGCCGAGCTGATAATTTTGATATGGCTAAGGCGATTATCTTTAAATTAAATCTGCTAATAATAAGCCATAATTCGCTGGTGTGCTCTATTTTATGATGTATAATGTTTCTGAAGTAAAATAAAATAAAATAAAGTGAATGTCATCGCATAAATAATGTTTCCAAAATAAAATAAAAGCAATTCTTGAATGTGTGCCAGGTTGGTGGCGCATTAATCAGCCCAAGTAATTTGAGCCAATTAAAAAAATTCTAATGACGACGAAAATAAAATTATAAATTTAAATACGTACGTAGAACGAAAGCATCATTACCAAACATATGGGCGCTTTTCAATAGAAAAGGGGGAGATCTCCTTTTTGATCAAAAAATTTTTATTGGCTGATTAAATAAAGTATATTCGAATATATAATTAATTAAAATATTAAATTATACTATATATTTTAATAATGAAAATTACTATTTGTACACGGTGTGTAGTGTTTGTAGTCGGTTCTTAAATATCGACTAAGTCGATAAAATAAAAAACGGCTTAGCCGGCTTAGTCGACTAAGTAATAATCATGCAAAAATTAGATACTCG